TTTTATGTCTTTACTGGGTTTATTTCTTTATTCACTGATACAGTTTCTTGCTGAAACTTCAATAAGTTCTGTCTTTTCAGACATTAAATCCATGCTCATGCCCTAATGAATTATCTTCATGTCTTTTTAATCTACAAATAGGATGACTACCCATTGTGTAATCTTAATAGTACAGATCCAAAATTGGAATGCTATCTACATGGTATGTAGAAATAAACTTTGTAAGAAAAGAAAGAGGAGAATGAAATGATGTACAACAGCAACTATTTTTAATAAAAGAATGAAAATTCCCTAATTTGCAAATGAGTAGACTAGATTGCCTTCACTGCTAGTCTGATAAATTATGTAAGAAATAGGGTTACAACTCCTTTTCCAATCAGCCAAAAATAGAATTCCAGAGGAAAAGATGGGAAAGTGTTTTGAAAAATAGTATGGTGCTATATAAAAAGTAATACACCATGATGATGGTATTGTTGTTTCTTCTGATTTTAAAAGTCTTTTTGTTTTATGTCTTGCACATACAGTCTGTGAATATTTTTGGTGATGAATTCACCCTTTTATCAAATATTTCTTAGGCCTTTATATTGACTCAGATGTATTCTTACTCTTTTTTCTTCTTATTATTTCTAACCTTGGAATTAGGATTTATTTTTTGCAGATAAAGGTAAATGACATTTATTTGCCATCATCTTAATTAAGGAAATTGAGAGTATAAGATTATTGTTTATTTCCAATGCAGTAATTCTTGAGCTGCAGCTCTCTGAGAAACTGTTTAAAGATCAAAATATTTTCTTTTGAATAGTAAAACTTTTTTATTTTTATGTACTTTTTACAGGGGAAATAGATCACCTGCTAGTTTAGGTACAGGTGATAAAGTAAAACTAATTTCTCATTTTTTGAAGACTCCCCACTGATTTCTCCTATACTATATACTTAATTATCACATATTAACTAAAAATAAAACTGATAATTCTGAAATGAGGAGTAATCTATATAAAATATAGATTTTATGTGTTAAAAACCTACAGCTGTTCAAACAAAATAAAATGTGTTAGACAGTAGATACTTCCAAATTTAGAGAGCTACAGAGAACTTCTATAATACAGAGAATTTAAACATCTTTCTAATTGCTTCTTGAATTTATAGACTGTTGACCACTCCAAAATCTAACATTCTTTATTATAAAAAGAGTACATTGAAATGACTATGTTAACTTACATGGAAGAAGAGGAGAGATAAGCAAAAACACAAATGGAAAGCAAATATTCCACAAGTAAGCTTCAGGATAATAAAAGGTGGCCATAAATGAAGCTTTGTAATCTGTTGCAAGTTTATGAAATATTCCATTGATTTTATTTCTTTTGCAGCATCTGTTTTTATATTACGTATATAAAGTGGGTATTGAAAATTACTGACTGATATTCTAGAAAAGAAATACTAAAAGTTTTCTGAGTAAATAGCAGATTTTTCTTTAAATTTATATTGTTTACATGTTTCCTCCCATTGACATTGAGGTTCTTTTTACATTATCTTCAATCACCTTACAAACAATATGATTTTCTACATAATAATCTTTTGAGAAACAAACTATACAATGTCCTTAAGTATGAAAATATTACAGTGCTTACCATAACAAAGAATTTCAGAGTTTAAGTATTAAATATTCTCAGCTATGATTGGTGAAATTTATAAACACAAACCTTGATGTTTCTTTTTCTCTTTTCTATTTCCACAGTGATAGTAAAGAATGAGTTTAAAATATATTTTGTTTTACTTCTCTTCCACTTTTTCATAGTTGGAAAGTCGTGGTGCTCTGAAGGAACAGAGAGAGGAAGAGCATACCCTTCTCTATTTCACTCCCAGGCGCACCACACCTTTCTCCGGAAACAAAGTGCCAGTTTTCCGTGGTGATTTCACCATAGTTGGATATATAATTGATGGACTGAAACCTAATTAATTTGCCATACTGTCTCTAAAATTAATACTGTATGGTTGGAAGTGTATGAAAATGGTTGCTGTCAAAAATAATGTGTAAGTTAAAGAAGCGATTGTTCAGTCAATGTATAGAAAATAAACCTGGGTTTTTCCTGGTGAAATAGATACATTGTTCTCTCTTTTAACCCTAAGAAGTGAATGTTTGTTTCATTACAGGAGAATGGATTGTACCTAGAAAACAGCAAGAACATGATATTAATGTGATTCAGAAATTTATACTTTAAAACACTTTGCTATTATATAGTGGTTGGAATTCTTGCAGATCAATCGTTATATACATGTACATACTTTTCATTAAAGTTTAGTGAGTTCTAATGGGCTTCATTCCAAATTTTAAACTATAACTGCTCATATCTTAATTACATGACTAAGTTTAGGCTTCAGTCACATTACTTTCCATTATATCACATACATTTAATGTACACATATGTACACATATGTAATCAAATTTTATATACAACAGAATGTACTCATTTAAAGAATACAGTTTGATATCTATGCCCACATAACCACCACCTTAATCAAAATACAGAACATTTTTATGACCCCACAAAAACTCCCTTTGTTTCTCGCAGTCAGTTTATCTGTATCCTCAGCTAAAGGCAATCACCGATTTTTTCCCATTTCTGTAGATTTGGATTTTTCAACCTCAGCACTGTTTTGGGCTGGTAAGTGCTTGTTGCCCCAGGGTGCTGTCCCGTGCTTTACAGGGTTTCTAGCAGCATCCCCGGGCTCTGCCCACTGGATGCCAGTGGAACTCTCTCTGTACTCCCCATTCCCAATTGCAATGGCCAGAAATGTCTCTAGACATTGCTGATATACCCCTGGCGAGCAAACCCCTAGTCCATTTGAGAGCCACTGCTGTAGACTAGTTTTTCATATGTTAACATTCCATACCAGTAGAATCATACAGGATACTTTATTTCTGGTTTCTTTCAGTATAGTGGTTTTAAGAGTCATCCTGTTTGTTATCTGTACCATTGCTTCTTTTTATTTTTAATTTTTTCTTAATGGAGTGGGATTCTAGTATTGTCAAACTACAGTACAATTTGTTTAAATATCCACTTTGTGTTTGCATTTTCTTTAAATCCTAAAAAAAAAAAGCTGCTTTGAAATCTTTGCTAACTAATTGTATCACTTTAGGTTTTCCTGAGTGTATATTAATTCACTCATCCACTGGTTTTGAGTCACATTTTTTCTTTTCTCATGTTAGCAATTTTTTAAATTGAATATTGGATAATAATAATTTTACATAGGTGAGTGCTGAATTTTGTTTTCTTTCTTTAAAAAGTAATGGACATTTTTTGACATGTACTTACATTACTCATGGATCAGTTTGATCTTTTAAAGCTTTATTATTATTATTATTATTTGTTACTGTGAGTGTAGAATTGTTTTTATTTATGCCTAATCTAGCTCTTTCACTAAAGTGTGACTTTTCTGGCACTTCTGAGGAATACCCTGGTAATAAAGGAGGACTCTTCACTCTGGCTGGAACTTGCATAACTCTTAAACTTATTGTTCATTTTACGGTTCCCAACTGTTCTTTGCCCAGCCTTGTGGGAGTTTCCCTCCTCAACTGCACAGATGATTATTTTGCAATCATCTTGACAAAGACTTACACATGTTTCTGAAGTTCTTTCTCTGCTCTTCCTCTCAAGTACTCTGATCCACCAATTTTAGCCTCCTGTGTCTCTCTGCAGTTTAACTCTTGCCTCTTCAATTCATCAGGATCTCATGGGACCTCCCTTTCTACATAGTAATATTAAAAGTGCCTTCAAGAGAAAAAAAGAGGTGTAATTTTAAAGCTCACCTTATTAGTTTCCCTATTCCCACATGACAGTCTTTCACTATCTGTCAGCCAGTGTCAGAAAACAGTCTTTCGATTTATTTTGTTTTTGAGTTGTTTACTGCAGGAGGGCAAGCCTATTCTTTCCTCCATCATGACTAGAAGCAAAACTGTTTTTTAAAATTTTTTGTGTGACTTATAAACATCGTAATTTCGGGAAGCATCAAATTCTGTGTGTCATTCATATTTGTTCTGTTCACATAGTCACTGATTTGGAGTTACCGTATTTCAAGATACTATTTCTGTGATTCCCTTTCCCCTGCCCTGTTTTCTGTGTCCAAGGGCCTTTGCTGGAGTTAACACCATTGACCTTTCTCTCTGGACTTTCTCACTTACTCTACACTGAGTTAAATAGGAAAAAATGTTTGAAAGCTGAATTTGGGAGAAGGACTGGAAAAATCTTGGATTAGCCTAGTTGTGGTTATACTTTCAAGTTGGCCTCTCTTTAGGTTGTGTTCACACCTGTTGTAACAGGAACACTCAGGTGAGGCCTTCAGTTGTCTGTCATGGTCTGTGACTGAGCCGGTTGTTCAGTTCAGGGGAGACATTTGGAAGTCCGTGTGGCAGCGGATCCAATAATGGTGCCTAATTTAGCTGTTTTGGTACTAACACTAATATTTTGAATTCTGTTTATCTGTTCTTAACTACTTCTCAGTTGGACCCAAATTTGGGGAGGGAAATAAGGGAATTATTATTCTGCTCAGACATGATAATATCACAGATACACATTTGTCAATTAGCATTATATGAAATCACTGTTTTAACTGTGAACAATGCAAATTGAAAAGCTCATGCTTCCATTGATGGTTAGGAGAATCTGTAACCACAGGTATGTAAATACCACAGTTGTCTCTCCAGGAGTCTGGTGGTCCCTCTGTCCCCAGTTGAGCATGTCTCTCCTGTCCAATTTCTCGTACCTAGGTTGGGCCCTTCAGCCCTTCCACCAACTGGTGTTGCTGCGTCAGCACTGTTTATAATAAATGTGGTAAATAGCAGTTGATAGTACAAGATGTAATTACAGAAAAATGTTTTCCTTTGAAAGCCATATCTATTCTACATATTTCTAGAATTTGTAGTTTTACATGCTTAACATTGATCCTTATTTTTCAATGTATCTAGCCTGTCTTATAATAATACATGCTATCTTCCTTATTAGACAATGATCTCAGCAAAATTTTATTACACTTCAAGATGTCTGATAAACAAACTGAGTGGATAGAAAACTGCCAAAGACAATTTTGCAAAATGATGAAGGCCAAACCTGACATGATCAGTGGAGGTGGTGAGTGCATTGTTTTATTTTTCTGGGGTATTTTTTTGTATGAAAATTACATTAATAGAAGCTTTGTTTTCTGAAGATTAGGACCAGGATATCTAGAATACATAATACTAATTCAAGGAGTCCACTGACTTTTGGGAAACTTGTGGTGCTGGAAAACCAAAATTAAAATCTGGGATGACTAAGATTCTTTTGAAAACTGTCTAATATATTTTGGTAAGCAGAGCTGAAACACTGATTTATCTTTGTCCAGGTAACTGTTTGGTTTTACCAGCTCCCACCTGCATTTATCATACTGCTGTACTTATGAAATTTTATTGAATTTTTATTGACATGTATTTTAGAATTATGCTACCTCCTGCCTCATAAATTTAGTGACTCCTAAAGAAATTTTGTTTTGAAGGAATGGATATATTTTCTAAACTAGTAAACAAGTTGTTTTATATTCATATATTTGAGTGTACATTTGTTTTCTAAAGTCATCACTTTTTAATTAACATTTGGAGTAAAGAAGAAGGTCTAAGTTAAAAGTTCCGATGTTAATATAAGCTAGATTTATTGAAAGCTATAATTTAAAAGTAATTGTCTAATTTATCAACATGCTTTATGGTTTTCATATTTGTATCATATAAAATTAAAAGTGGGGAACAAAAGCAAGTTTATATTTTGTTGGAGAAATTATATTCTAAAGAATATGATAAATATCTATGGTAATAAGTCAAATACTATTCTTAAATTTTGTATAAAGTGAGTAGTTGAACTATGTTTTACCATAAAATATTTATAAAATACCTATCATAAATATATATAAGTATTTATTTACATAAATAAACTATTTACTATTTATATACATAAATAAATCAATTCTCATTGATTACATCATAGAGAATATTTAAAATAGACTACCAGTGAGTTTTGCTCATGTCAAAACGCACAGAACAAGTGGAGAAAGCAGTAGCTTGGTATAGTGTTCATTTAAACGTAGTAAGTATGTGTGTGACTATGAAATAGGATAAACAAGTAGAACTTTGCCATGAGAACCATATTCCCTTGGAATCTTGTGGCACTTCTGACAAGTCTTGCCCTCAGTTATTTATTACCCTGCTACAGTGCCCAGAACTAGACTGTAAGCTACTCTCAGGAGTAGTAGATTTAGCCCTCTATGCCCGTCATGTTCTAGTAGCTTATACCAAACTCTGTTCCTTTTCACTGCGACTTTAAAAGACAGGCTACATTCTATGGATTAGGAAACTAAGGCCTGGGAATTTTACGTGTCTAACCCAGTTCATAGTCAAGAAACAAACCAAGGCAACCTAACACTGAAATTCGTGTTTTGTGTCACTTTGCTGTGCTACTTCTTTGCATTTCCTCTTTAGTGCCGAATGTTTTACACATCAGAGACAAATAACATTTATTAAACACAGGTGAACATAATACTGGTTTAGATAAATTATGATACAATTTATAATGTCTCATATCTCATACCATTGGTTTCCTGTCTGTAAACTAAAATGAACTAATTTTGCGGGTAATATCAATATATAAATATTAACCAAATTTATGCTTTAATGAGGCAGGCATGCCAATTTATGTATTTGTGTGTGTGCATGCACATGTACAGTCTGGCTCTGTTATCTGGGTCAACTTGGATCTTAAATGTAAGCAGTCCACAGCCATCAAGCACCAAAGATTTTTAGATTATCATCAACTATTCTGCAGTTCCTCCCTAAAATGTCTGGTTGGCTCTGAAATGCCAGTAAACACCATGTACGTCAATAATTTTCATAATTATAGTAATGAGTAAATGAATTAGTTTTAATTTCTCTACAAATCCAAAGGGAAGTAAACAAAAGGACGTTCAGTTCATGAGAGCTTATTGAGAAGCTCCTTGTTGGCTGTGTGCCCCTTGCCACTGCAGACAGCCGCTGCCCTGCGTGGTAATGGTGAGGGGAGAGGACAGTCCATCAGCAGTTTTTCCCGCTAATTGAACCCAGGCTATCTGAACAGTTAGCAGGAGAGAAGATTTCCAGCTTTCTAAAACTTGGGCTTCTGGTATTTCTGGAGTTTTCCTTCCAGGCTTTTAGCGTATAAGAACAGGTGAGACAATGTGGATGTACAGCTGCAGGATATTCCTGCACTCACTGTAATGAGTTGCTGGTAGAAGCAATGAACCCATTGCTTCTATTCTGTGATCCAGAGCTCACGCATCAAGTTAATAAAATATAAGTAAGATTTATTCTTCTCATGACCTTATTTTGGTCTGTATATGTCTCCCCTCCATACTACTCCATCCTATTATATCCCAGACCTTTCTTTTTAAGATAGAAATAACTAGAACATGTTTATTGAACCTTAATTAACTAATGTTATTTTTATATGTTTATTTTACTCAGCACTGGGAGAGAACATAGATACTCCATTAGGTTTAATTGCAAATGTGTTCATGAGCTGCCTCTTTTTATTTATGAAAACACAGATCATTCCACAATTCTGTTTCCCCGCCCTTGTTGTCTGAAAGGTCCCTGTAGATTGAGTGACTTCTGGTGTCTCCTCAGTTTACTCACTTACCCTTTGATGTCTAGTCATCCTAAACAGTAGATTTTATAATGACTATTTCCCAACCTTTACATCTGTTCTATACTCATCCCCCTGTAAAAAGAAGCCTCTGCATTTTTCACATTATCTCCTAACCAGTATTTCTCATTAATCTTTTATATGAGACCTAATAATTAAATGTGTATGGCCTTCCTATTTTTGTTTACTAATATTGATAACATAACTTATAACCAGAATGCTGGTATAAGATACATGCAATTTGAGTTAGTTGCTAGGTGACGTGTACAACATGTATGATAGACAACACTGGAAACTGTGGTACACTTTCTAACTATAATACATTTTGGGTAACCATATAATATATTTTTGGCATCCTTCAGATGCCCAAATTATCACAACTTGGACTCTGTGAGGTGGTTTTTTTTTTAAAGCTGGCCTCTTTGTCCTTTTAAACTATTTTTTCCCTGTTTACCTCTGAAAGAACCCTGGCTTAGTAACAACAGTGAAGTCTAGACTTGTTCTTCCTGCTCTTAAATACAGAGTTCAAGGATAATGTTAGGGACTGAATCTGAGCTGCAGCAGTGCACATTAGATTGCTGTACATGATTAAGGCAACAAGATGGCATGAGGCAAAAGCACATCTAAACAAAAAAGTATATATATATTTTTTTTTCTAATTTACTTCTGGCTATGTTTAAATTTCTTTTTATTTTTTGAATGTTTAATCAGATTTCCCCTTTTGACCTACCATTTGTTTAAATTTCTATCTTATTCCCAAATTTTAGATTTTATCTCCACATGAGATACCATGGAAAATGTAAAATAAAATATATTTTTCCTCTTGCATTTTTTTTTTCTGATTACTCTCACCAGCATGTACCCAGTCACTGAAAGGCATAAGCTAGTTCTCTTTGGCTTCTTCCTTCTATACTTTGACTGCCCCGCTTTGTTACCCATTCTTACAGAGCTTATTCCTAAATATGTCCTTTATCTGTTCCTTCTCATCCATATCTCCTACTTTAATTCAAGTATTAACTATTCAGTAGTTGGACTACTGTTGGCTAATACTTGATCATTTTAGGAAAAGCAGAAATTATAAATAAACAAATTGAACAAACTGAAATTAAATTATAATTTTATCATTCAGATATTAGTATTACGTTTTTATTTTTAGCCCCCCAAAGTTAATGCCTGTTATACAATTTTCTTGTCTTTTCACTCAGTGCACTATTGTATAGATTTTTTCATGTCAGTAAATGTACTTCCACAATGTAATTTTAAAGTCTGCTTATTTGATCCTATGGATCTGATTCTTTATTATGCTTTTTTTAAAAATCTCATTTGAACTCCTGGGACCCTAGCTAGTGAAGATACTCACATTTCACCTCAAATATACAGTAAGGAACCCAAAATCTTCTGTAATACAGATCATCTGATAATATCAAAACACTAATAAATCACTTTAAAAAAGAGAGACATATAGCCAAAGTGTAGACTGTTTGGTATAAGCAGACACAGACATTAAGGCTCATGAAAGAAAGCATAAGAGGTGCCATGACAATGAGAGTAAGAGCCTGAGTTCTAAAAGGAGGATCCCCAATGGCTAGTGCTACGTGGACAAAAGCATTAATTCTTTTGTTCTCCCATTTACTTTATCCTTGTGATCACCATCATATATCATTATTGGTCTATCCTCAGCAATGTTCTCCCAATGACACCTAAAGCTACTTTTCTCATAGCCTCTCTCTTGGGATAAGCAACCAGGGGAAGGAGAAATTCAGCACAATTCCTCATTATTCTGTCACCTTCTGAATCCTTTTGTGCTTCAGTATTGCTAACATACCCAAGTAGTACTCTTAAGGTTGTTGCATTTCCATAGACACTGAATTGGCCTATCTTCTATCTACTTGTGGCTATAAAGTAATTGTAATTGACACAGTCAGATAATTCTCTCATTCGTAATACCAATTACATGGTAAACAATATAAGGAATTATTTCAAAGAGACCAAGAAATTTAAAAACAAGTGAAAATGTACATGACAGTCTAATTTATATGATGAAACTTGTATTCAGACTTTAAGGAGACTAAATAGTCATTTTGAAAAAAGTAAAGGTGACGTATACTTTTGAAAGATAGAGTAGATGTGCTTTCCCTTGCCCCTTTTACTATGTGCTACTAAAATCTCTGGACATCACATATAAAACAAACATAATATGTCTCTGGAAGATGAAGAGAAGAAGACAGACTGGGAAGGGACCTTAGGTCCCCAAGGAACATCTCAGAGGTGCCTGGGTTTTTTTTCACCTCACATATCCTAGACTGAGTGATTAAGAGTGCCAACAGATGCAGAAAAAAAACAGGGGGAGGTGGGTGATAAAAGCCTGCTCTCTCCAGCCAGAGGACCAGGAAAATGTTAGCGTACCACGACAGAAAACTTGTTGAGAGTTGTTGAGAGTTACCACTTTAATTTAGCCAAATACCACAGAAAATCCTCCCTGCTAAACCTGGTGTGCAGCCTGGACATCCATCCTCACCCGGCAGCAATGAGGCACCCCTGCCTCCTCCTGCTTGGATGGTTTCAGAGGAGACTTAGGTAGAGAGTGAGGACTTTCACCACAATCTGGTGGTAACTAGGATGCAACCTCTCCTTCCCTTCCACGCGTGTATTTGTTTAACACATGAAACAAATTTAAAAGCAGGAAGTGTCGGCAAAGAAGAAGTAAAGAAAACGCAAAAGAAAAGTTTAGAACTGAAAAATACTGTAACCAAAATTAAAAGCTCAATGGATAGGTTCAACAATAAAACCAAGGGAACAGAGGGAAGAATCAGAGAATGTGAAGATGAGAGGAAATAGATTGAAAAATTAACAGAGCCCCAGAGACCTGTGGAACCATCTCAAAAACATCTAATATTTGTGTCATTGGAATCCTGCAGAGGTTGGGACTACAACTTTGAAGAAATGATGGCTGAAAACTTTCCAAATTTGCCAAAGACTTAAACCTATGGAATCAAGAAACCCAAAGAGTGTAAACCTGAAGAAATCCACACCAAGATACAATATGTTTAAACTGTTGAGAACTAAAGACAAAGATAAAAATCTTGAAAGCAGAGAGAGAAACACTTTACCTACAGAGGATAATCAATGCAAGTGACAGTGGCCTTCTCACCAGAAAAGATAGAGGACAGAGGAAGAGCATGGCATCATTCACGTGCTGAAAACAAGGAACTGTCAACCTGAATTCTGCATGTATGGGAAATAGTCTTCAGGACTATTGAGAAAATCGAGACATTCTCAGATGAAGGATTTGTCACTAGCAGAGCTACCCTAAAGGGAGGGATAAAGGAAGTTCTTTACCTCTGTACTGTCTTTGCAACTTTCTGTGAATCTATAATTGTACACAATAAGTTTTTAAAAAATAAAGAAGAAAGAGCAAACATAAACTATGTAAGAACATTGAGAAAAATTGACTGTGCTTAAAATATTTTGTATGACAAGTGGATATGGTTGGATGCTCTAAGACTGTGAAGTGTTTGGAATGCATTACTAGAGAGAATCACGGTAAGTTTTTGAATACGCACGTTTTCGAGCAACAGACTTCTGATGTTTACATGAAGATGAATTTATTTGGAAATAACTGTAATTTACTTGTGATCTGCCAATATGCTAACAGTGATAACATATTTTAAAAGAGAAGTTTTGCCTGTCTACAAACATTGAGCTGTCCTAATTTTGGGGTCAGCTGCTGTGATGGCCAGGATCAGCCGGTGGGAGGGAAAGCAGTGCCGGTGCCCACGGATCCCTGAGCAGTCTGGCTGTGGCTTCTCCTTGGCAGAAAACCCACGCCACTTTTTAGTGTGTGAATATTGTAGATTTTGATTTTATAGCCTATGTCATAGTCCAATCTCAGAGGATAAATATAATTAAAAAGAAAAGGCTCATACTTTAAAGTCCTTTATAGAGATGCCAGATCTTTCATTTAAGATCTATATAAGATAAAGCAATATTCTATAATTTACTTTCTGGATAGTGATATCCTAGAATTAATTTGTCTTTAAAGTTAAGAGGTGTTTCATGACATGATTTAATTTCCTGGAGTTATAGATAGTGTTATTTTCAGTGAATTGAAGAGCTGCACTGCCTTAAAAATCCTGTGCTCTGCCTATCCATTCATTTCTTTTTCCCCTAACCCCTGCCAACCTTTTGTTTGATCTGGTTGCCCTAAACAGATGCCATCAGTCACAAAGCATATAATACACATAATATGTACTGGTTTTGAAAGGAACCTGAGCTATGTGTTGATCTTGATCTTGTAGTTCACATAACTTTTTCTGTATGTGTGAATAATTATGATGATATATTATAGTCTTATTAGTGATAATTTTCTCTCTGTATTGAAACCATTTAGCAAATTCTGAAGTAATCATAGAGACTCTAAAGATAAAATGTGATTCTTTTCTAGCTCTACATTCATAGGTTCTCAGTGAAGCTATTAAAATTTAATTTACATCAGAAACAGTGTTAACAATATTAAAGTGGTATGCGTTTTGAACTGGACTCCCTTAAGGGCATAACTAAATAAGTTGTGATGATTTTTATGTACTAGTCTGTGATTTGAGATGCATTATCACATATGATTCATGTCCTTTAATATTCTAATTATTCTTTATATATTACAGCTTTAGTAGAGTTACTTGAAAATTTTGTGCTTCATCTCTCTGAAAGCCCATCGGAATGCTACTTCCCCTCAGTAGAATATACAGGTACATTTTAAACATTTTGAATTTTGAAAACAGATAATAGATAATATTTCATAAGATGTGCAAATACATACTATTTCATAGAAATGTGTAATTAGATTACAAATATGCACAAGTTTCTCATTCTAAGAATCTTTCCTGTACATTCCAGGTATTCAATCTCTTCCGTGCAAATGTTTGGTTTTCCTTGTAACTTTCTAACTCTATTTGAGCTCTTTTTATTTGTTGACCTCTTAAAAACTGTTTTTCTTTAAGGTAATGCTTTCCACTCTTCTCACTGAAACCACTATCCTCTGGTGATCTCATCTGCTCATACTATTTTACGAATCTCATATATTGATGACATCTTCTACTCAGAGATCTACTTACAAGTTTTATTTTCATATTTCAACTGCTTAATAGGTAAACATCACTTGGATGTGTTTCAGAAACCCTCAAATTCTGAATGTCCAACAGGGACCTCTCCTTATCATACCGTATTGATACATATCCTCCTCCTGCCTTGCCTATTTCGGTGGGCACCACAGTCATCTCCTGTCTAAGCTAGAAACTGAGGAATGATAAACTCTCTTAGGTTCACATTTTCCTCCCAATCACCAAACCATGTTAGTTCTGTGTTCTGAATATATCTCAAATTTATCCACTTATATTGATTTCTACTCTTTTTTATGTTAGTTCAGGCTACCATTACCTTTTGCCTAGAGTATGACAACAGCCTCTTTACTTGGGTGTCTAACCGGAGTCTGATTTCTTTTGAAAGACATTCTTTATGCTGCTTTTACAGTGACCTTTGAAGCCCAAATCCGATCCACTCGTTCTTCTATCCCATAGAAGCTCACCACTGACCACTGCATAAAGTTTTACCATGATACCCAAAACCTTAAATTAGCCTTGCCCATTGTTCCTCTCTCTTGTTATCCTTTTCTTTCCATGCCTCATTATTTATTTTTCAGGAACACTAAACTATTAGCAGCACTGCCAGCTCCTTCCTCTCTCCTTCACCACACACAGATTCATTTATTCAACAGATAGATATTGTCCTCTACTATGTAATAGAACTTTTTTAAGCATTCAGACACAGGATTGAACAAAAGAGAGAAACAAATCTTGCCCTCACAGAGTTCACCTTCTGGTGGGAACATAGACGATAATGAAGCAAAAGATTCAGTATGTCAGATGGAATGGCAGTAGATGAGAATTACACAGCAGGGAAGAGAACTAGGGAGTGCTAGCTGAGGGTGAGGGTTACAATATTAAATAGTGTTCAGACAGCAGAAGTGGGTGCAAGATATATAGATATTTTTAAGGGAAGAGAATTTCAGCGAATGACATGGAAGAATAGTAATAGTATGGCTGAAAAGAAATAAGGGGGCAGAATTATTTGTGTGGAAGTCATAAAGAGGAGGATTGTGAGAGTTATTTCAGGGTCTTGAACATAGGATTGACATGCTCTGATTTACATTTTTTTAAAGATTTAATTTATTTTTATTTTTAGAGGGAAGGGAGGGAGATACAGAAAGAGAGAGACATCAATGTGTGGTTGCTGGGGGTCATGGCCTGCAACCCAGGCATGTACCCTGGCTGGGAATCAAACCTGCAACACTTTGGTTCGCAGCCCGCGCTCAATCCACTGAGCTATGCCAGCCAGGGCTGATTTACATTTTTAAAAGATCACAATGTTTGCTGTATTGAGAAATGAATGAAGGAAGACAAAGTGTTAAAGCAGGGAGACAGAGGATTTTTGAGAAGATCCAGATGAAAAATGGTAGTGGCGTGGGTGAGGATGTCAGTGGAGATGGTGAGAAGTACTTGGACTCTGGGTATATTTTGAAGATGGGACCAGCATAAGTGGGTAATGAATTGAATATAGGAAGATAAAGGAATATATATGAGATAAAGGAAAGATGGAATCAAAGAAGATGAAGTTACTGATCTGAGTCACTGGAAGGATGGAATTATCATACATTGAGATGGAGAAGAATGGGAAAAGAATAGGTTTGAGGAGATTTAAGAACTTACTTTTTATGTTAAGTTTTAAATACCTTGTACACATTTAACTAGACATGCTTAGGATATGCTACATATCTGAATATGGAATTTAGGGAAAGGTATTGGGTGGAAAAACAAATTATTAAATCATTAGCTTAGTGTATAAAGCCAATTTGCATCATATTCTGACTTAATGTCTAATTTTTTACTTGACAGTAACAGCCAGTAAAGTAGTTTCCGTGTCTTAACTATTATATGTATCCTCTGCACCTAGAATAACAGTGTCAATATATGCTGGACAAGCAAAAGAGAGAGTGGATAAAAGAATGAATGAGAGAGATTTTGTATACTGTACCAATCGGTTTGTCTTGATTTTAATGGGCAATAGAGTAAACCATGTAAGATTTCTGAGCAGAAGCTTTACTTGATTCATCTGTACCTTAGGGAGATTATTTTGGTAACTGTGTAAAGAATCAGGTAAAATACAGAACTGAAATTTGCCAAAGGTGAATATCCAGTACTCAGGATTGGTAAACAAAGAGATGGTGAAGAAAGCAGAGATGTAGCATGCACTCCAGACAACAGATCATCAAGGAATATTGCATTTCTTTTTCATAAGGGTGACATGACTTCTTTGCTGAAGAAACCATGGTTCAAATAGGTGTTAGTTTTGCAAGTTAGATATTATGTATCATATCTCCATAAAATTATACGTATATATGCACTTCCCATGTGTCCCTGCCTATCTTTCTAGCCCTATTAGCCACTGTTGCCCAAGCAAATTCCATGCATTCATATCAATGAATGTTTGCTCCTACCATTCTTTCTGGATAAACTTTTCCCTCCCATAACATCCATACAATGAATGTCCAACTCAGCTGTAAAGTTGTAGCTAGAATGTCATCTTCCGTCCACTCCCAAACAGGAATTTAGGGAAAGGTATATTCCCTAAATATATATCCTTTCTCTGTTCTCCTATTGCATTTGCTTTACTATTTTGATATTTATTATATTATATATGACTAGCTTAAGTTATTCTAATAGGTCTCAAACTCCTTTGTATCTTTAATATAACATTTGATATATTTTTACTGAATTAAATATATATACTAATGCTTAAGCATCTATATTCACACAAGTGCACTTGTATAACAATTGTAAATATATTGATAATTACAAACCCACACATGAGCATATACCTAATTATTTACACATAGTAACATCTAATGTAGATTAGGGAAAGGGATAAAAGAGAACATAAGAAAATAAAAAACAATGAAATGAGAGGAAAATACAAGGTAGCATTAATCAGAAGTTGAGGTACGTGAAGGGAATTGGTAACTGTTGAGTACTTCTTGTGAGTTAATTAGTGCTCTGTGGCACTTGGCTTGTATTATGTTATTCAGCACCACAACTACTCTCTGAAGTAGGTATAATAATTACATTTAAAATCAAGAATTGAGGTAAATAGGAAAGAATACAGAAATTGTGAAGTTAATTTGGAAGAAAATCATCTGTGAGGAAAATTATAACTTCATGAACAAACCTGAAAATGTACAGGAAAAATATACAGGGAATCACGCTAAGTCTGTGAGTAAGAGAGGAAATCGGTAAGCAGTAATCATGGAGATTTGCATGATCAGGTTGGCGCTCTCCCCAGTCTTTAGCATAAAAATCTCTAATGTCTGCAGCTTTCAATGTACCCAAGGCACGTTGTTTTATTGGGTTGTATTTTCTGTAGATATCCTAATAAAATTAAACTTATGCTACATGTGTTATCTAAACACTCAAAAACCTGATGTATTTCCTGCCCCCTGTTATACTTTTAAATTGTGCTAAGGGATATCTCACAGGTTGTCTTTTTAAAAATTTTTATTTACTTATTTATTTACTTACTTTTCTTCTTACTTATTTATATGTTTGTTTATTTATTTTAGACAGAGAGGAAGGGAGGAAGAAAGAGGGGGAGAGAAACATCAATGTGTGGTTGCCTCTTCTGTGCCCCGTACTGGGGACCTGTCCAGCAACCCAGGCGTGTGCCCTGACTGGGAATCAAACCAGCAACCCTTTGGTTCACAGGCTGGCACTCAGTCCACTGGGCCACACTAGCCAGAGATCACACATTGTCTTTTTTTTTTTTAATTTTATTTTAATCATTGTTCAAGTACAGCTTTCTCCCACTTACTCCCATTCCAGCCCACCCACCACACATTGTCTTTTTTGAATGTAGTATCTAGGCAGATAAATCCTGAATGTGAATTTAAATTTTTTAAAGGCTCCAGTTGAACAACTATCCACTGGAATTTTATAGTACAACAAAAACAAAGTGGCTTCCTATTGATCTGTTGTTTAATATTTATTATTATGATATGCTAAGTTTGTTGCTTGTATTGTTTTCTTCCCATGGCTTTAGATATCCTCATCACTTATCATTTATTTTTTGGCTGGTGAAACAATGTTTTGCTGTTACAAAATTTCATTTTATTTACTTCAAATAAACAAAAACTTGATATAAAGGATGTTTTAACGCAAATGCTGGATAGATATATTCAATGTTTTTTCTTGTTTCTTGAAATGAAAAATTGATTGTCTTTTTTAAAATGACAGCCTGCTAAACCCTAAGGTAGCTGAAATTAGAATAACACAGTCATCCATCTGTTGTTAGTTCCCTCAGGATTTCAATCCATTATAAAATCTAAAAAAATCAAATTAGTTTGGCTGTTTATCCCCTTGAAGAAAGAGGAAAGAACAGAGAAAGTTCTGCACATTTGCTGTTTGTAAGTCCATTCAGGTATCTTTCCAAATCTTAATAGACATTAACGTTTTGTTGGCTTAATTCTCTGGACATGTTGGGGATTTTCTGCTACTCTGACTGCTTCTTTGAAATGATAAACTAAGTAGTGCTTTCAAGGCACTACTTAGTAGTAAATAAAAGTAGTAAAAGTAGTAAATATTTTAATTTTATTCCTTTTCTCTTTATGTTATTAATCAAAAGAGTGAGAAAGTATCAAAAAATTTCATTGTTTTTTCTTCTGACTACTAAACTATTTTTAAACTTAAACATACAGTTAAACACCTTTTATTCTTTCTTTGGATATTCAGCAATTATGCCCTTTTCTAGCCTACATTTATGGAGCATGTTTGTGAGTATGTAATATAACTGCAAGTAGGGATGTAATATGAATGTCCCTCTCCTCAAGGAAGGAAGGTAGGACATACACCTAAAATGATGAATTAAGTAAGTTGAAGCATATAGTACAATAGCAAATGAAGAAATAAAAGAAAACTGATATTTTTTTTTAGCTGGCTATGTTGTTTCTGGCAATCTGCTAGAGCCTTTAAGTATCCTATTTGCATTAGGTTTTTATCAAATGAGGGTTTTTCTGTACGTGCTGCAGGTGTTTAGTGGGAAGAAGGATCATTGTTGACTAGTGCCACCTTGGAAGGTACAGGGGGAAGTGATAACAGAGCTGGGGAGGTGACGCTGGTACTGCCTCCTGGGCCTGTGCAGATGAAAGGAACAGGACGGGGCAGACCTGCAGACAAGGGTGAATTGCATAACTAAAGACATAGAATTGAACAAAATGGATAGATACAACCACATGTTGAAAAGAAGCAACAGAATCTGCAGAGTGCCTGGGGAAGGAAGGAGGTAGGAGGCAGTGTACTGACTGACTGATTTATGTGGCTGATTGAGAGTTCTCTGCCTCTACCACAGATGCAGCAGGGCTTCGGAGAGTCAGTGAAAAGTCAAGCAGCCACTGCTTCTTCAACCATGGATTTGTCTTCCAGCAGAGAAATTCTTTACTCTTCTAAAAATTTATTTTTTTCACACCATTAGCCAAGTGCCAGGCGGAATAGATTTAATTCGTTCTACTACTGCTCTGTGTGCTAGCTCTGCACACCAAACGTAGAGCAGAATGCATCACCAGAGTCAGGGCTATCAGTCACTATTAAGTAAATTTTTTCAACTCATTTTGTTCTGAGATTATTATATTATAATTAAAATGACTGGTTATTTCAAATAGTTGAATATTCATGCTGAGATTGAATTCGTCATTGTTACGTAACCAGGGTAAGTAGCACACTACAGGAGTCACTGTTTGGTTGACTTTTGTATTTAACAATTTAGTATTTTGTTAAGCTTTTTATAGTGACTCCAGGGATTAGGGAGTTATGCTGCCTATTTGTTGGTTAATTTCAATATACAGAAAACACTTTTAAGTTCAAATCTATTTCTGTCTCCACCTTGCTTCCAGTTTGATACATAAAACACAATTTGTTTTGTTGTTGTTCAGTGGATGTTTGTTCTTTCATTTATTCATTCATCTACTCATTCATTCACTCAGTGTTATTACATGCACACAGGTCTGTATATTAATGAAGATAAGTATTTTTCATGCTTAATAATCTCAGTTTATATGTATCAGAATCTAAGTGTTATCTGATTTCACTTAACCTTTTTGGCAACAATATACAAATAACAATCTTATCGTATCATGTTATGATAGGAGGTAGGTCTGTACCATGGCTATAAGAATATATAAAGTCAGAGTGTTTATCTTATTGAAACTGTTTAAATTTGTCAAAATCAGCCAATGTCACCAACACTGTACCACTAAAATTTATATATTTAAACTTGAGAAAATAAAATATAATTATTCTTAAAATACAGGACCACCAGGAACAGATTCAAGTACTGAAACAAAGGGAACTTCCTGGGCCTTACCCAGATGAAAATAACCTAACTGGGTATTGGTGAAAGCTGTGTTTAAATTATGGCTGAATAAAAGAAAATGCTTTCGATAAGATTAAAAACTTGAAATTATGGTGAACATATGAATGATGATTAATAGTTTTGAAAATTGGCCATTATTTTGTCAGAGTGAGTATCATTTGTGATACATACTTTTTTGGTACCAAGTGATGAAAAATTAAATCAAGCTTTTTTTTTTGTCTAAAAGAAAATGAGGCAGAATCATTTGTTCATATAATTGGGGTTAAGCTGCCCTTAGCAACCTGTCTCTTTCCTCTGTCCCTCCTTGTCCTTGTATGTTGGATGTATTTCTCTCTACTAGAGACCTAGGGCACCTCATAGCCCTGTATTTGATAGTGGGGAAAATGCCTATTTCACTCCAGTTTGAAAAATCTGGAGAAGACATTGCATAGTCTCCCATGTTTAACCTGTTGGTAGAAGAAGCGCAGAACTGGTGTCATTCTCCCCTAGGGACAGAAAGTACACTTCTTAGCACAGTAAAGGTTATAAACAGCTAGGAATTCTAAGCTAAATACAGTATAACTTAACTGTTGTCATTAGGCAAAATATAAAAATATTGCTAATTTTGGTTGAGATCTAAATAAGTAAACTCAGATGTATCAATAGTTTATTTAGAAATTAACAGACATTCATGTCTGCCTGTCTGACTGTATTTTCTTTATGAAAATGGTCACTCTAGCTAGTTGACAAACTGACTAGTCTAGTTTGCCTGGTCCTATGAGGAATCCTAGGCATGAGACTTTCAGTAGTAAAACCATGGAATTCCTAGATAAACTAGAAGTAGGTTACCTTAACTCTAGGAGTGCTAAAAGATGAATTATTGTTCGTCCAAAGAGTAGATATTTGATAACAGTGATGTTTAATTTGTTTTTCTCTATCTCTGTACATCTCAAGTCTATCTATGTTTTAAGGTTCAGTTGAAATTCCATGTCTTCCTCATCAAACCCTTCTGAATTTGCATAACGTTTTATCTGTACCATTCTTATTCCTCTTAGCACTTTCAAAAATTAGGGCTATCTATATACAAATTTTATCTCTGACACTACATGGAAAGTTCTTTTAGGACATGATATATTATTTATCTTTTATGCCCCAGAGCTTCTAGCATGGTATGCTACACTTACTTTATCAGAAAGGTTTATTAAAAGGAATGAACAGGTCCATGAGTTAAGTAGATTATATTGATAGTATGTGATGCACCAATATATAATGGGAAGGAAAGAAAACTGGTGATATTAGACTCAGAAAACCTAGTTTTTGATCCTCTCTACCACTAGATAGTATGTGAGTTTGGACAATTCCCTTAATATTGTGTGTTTGTGTGTACTCACACTGCTGTTTCTTTAGCCCAAAACTGAAAGTTTCAGCTAGACCTTCAGTGCTATCTAGTGATACCTTTTAGTGTTCTGTGTTTGCTTGGCCATCCAGTGTTCTCAAGGGCTAATCGAAACTTTCACCTTCTCCTATAGTTCTCTGTACTGAACAACCCCTTCTTCAGTTTTTTTCCCTATATCTTTATACTTTTCTGTCTTTATACTTTTATTTATAGACAAGTATATAATTCATGGTGCTTTTTTACTTTCTTTTTTTTAATTGAATTTATTGGGGTTGCATTGGTTAATAAAACTATATAGGTTTTATGGTTACCATTCTATAATACAGAATCTGCATATTGTATTTTGTGTTCATCACACCAAGTCAAATCTTTTTCCACCATCACATATCCCTCTATACCTTCTCCTACACCTCCCCACCCCTTTCCTGCTGGTAATCACCATATTGTTGTCCACGAGGTGTTTTGTTTTGTTTTTGCTTAATCCCTCTATCTTTTTCACCCAACCCTCTCTCCCCTCCCCTCCGACAGCTGTGACTCTTTTCTCTGTATCTATGAGTCTGTTTCTGTGTTGTTTGTTAGTTTATTTTATTCATTAGGTTCCACATATAAGTGAGATCTTGTGGTATTTTCTTGCTCTGACTGGCTTATTTCACTTAGTTATCATCAGTAAATTAACAAGCAACAAGTGTCAATGAGGGTGTGCAAAAAGGGAACCCCATTCTTTGTTTTTGGTAATCACAGTTCCTACTTCCCAGGGAATTTGCCTGCAAGAGGAGTTTGTTCATTCCATCCTCCTCCATTGTTGTGCATTATAATAAGAATCTTAGTTATTCCTTTCTGAGACTCTTGCTCAAATCTTTAAAAAATATATATATATATATATATAGTAATTCAAAATCTTATATATGCATTACTTAACAAAAAACAATAGTCTTGACTATTTTGGAGTTAATGGCTTTTGTGCTCTGAGAACCAAGTAAAAATAGATTGCTTGAAATTTATGATTAGTTGCTTCTGTATTTAATATGCTTTTAAAATGCTTTCTTTTATTTGTAAAATCTTTCCTGTTAATTCTTTTGAAAATATAACTGACAGTTCTTAAAAGAACAAACTCATCAATGTTTTCAAAATTCACATTAAAATATGTGAAAATATTGCTTTCATCACTTTCCAATTAAAATGTGATTATTATGCAGACTTTTATACATTTTTTTAAATCCAGTTTTCTGTTGTTTTTAGCTACTGATGCAAATGTGAAGAATGAAAGTCTTTCACTGGTGCAGCAGCTTGGCATTCAAATGACTGTCAGGTATGTTACAGGAAAATGGCTCTCTCGTGTATTTCTAGAATTGTTTAATCTACCTGATAGGTGCTTAATAGTATTTAACAACTGACTGTTTTGTATATTTTAAATACATGATTTATCATTCAGAAAATAACTTTATTTTGAGGATATTGGGACATGATTATTGATCTCTGTAGGTATATCAGTTATGATTCATTATTATTTCAGAGTTTAATTCCAGTGTATTTAAGTCTCTAAGTATTTAAGACTATCAGTTTTTTTTTCAAAAATAACATCGTAAATATCAGCACATTGGTAAAACAATCATGTCATTTTCTAAAATATGATTAGTTTAAATTATCAAACTATGGTGCTGAGTGCAAAAGTACCTTAAGGATAAGGCCTGGCTGGTGTAGCTCAGTGGATTGAGCGCGGGCTGCGAACCAAAGTGTCGCGGTTCGATTCCCAGTCAGGGTACATGCCTGGGTTGCAGGCCATGACCCCCAGCAACCGCACATTAATGTTTCTTTCTCTCTCTTTCTCCCTCCCTTCCCTCTCTAAAAAAAAATAATAATAAAAATAAATAAATAAAATCTTAAAAAAAAAAGTACCTTAAGGATAGATGCAGAAGTTAAAATGAATAAACCAATTATAGTAGCTTGAATTTTTAGTGTTCAGATTGTAATTTTCAAAGGAGATGGGCAAGCTAAACAGACTGGGAGTTAAGACTGAGTCATTGACCAATCTCCAGCCCCCAGTTTTGCTTATTGAATGGGGATATTGGTAGTCCCATTCCAAAGAGTCAGAATCAGAGTTAAGTTTTAGAAAGGTACATGTGAAAGATGTTAAATAGATTGAGTGTTTTTATAAATCTGTAGCATTATACTGAAAATGGTACTAATTCTAGCTTGCTTACCTTTGTAACAAAGGGCATATAACATTATTTTGCAACCTGCTTTTTACTTTAAATGCCCTGTTTCTGTGGTGAAATAGAATCTGTAGATAATATAAGCAGTCTAGTCACAATTTTTTTAAATTCAATAAAATGTCTTATTGGTAAGAAATAGATAGAAAATGATGTACAATGTCAGTGTTTGCATAAAACTACAATTTAAGACATAGTTGGCAGTCACATAAAACCGTCGTGACTCTGGCAGAGGCAGAGACTGGTTTTATTTTGGTGCTTCAAATACTGCGAGAGAGCTGCCACTGGCAAAATGACTTTCCAAAATGGTGAACACAGCTTAGTAAGACTTCAAATGAAATGAAGTGCTGTCTTTTTCCTATTTATTATACACATGGCTGCATTTGGTATATGTGAAAAAATAAGAAAATTTTTGTGATTTTATATAAAATGGTTAGATTTAGAGCATTATAAGTAGCTTTTTAATTCATGCAAATAACAGGCAGGGCATTTGCAAGTTGCTGTCATGCTGCCCCATGTACAACCTCCTGACCCTCACTCACTGACGACTGGTAGTGCTCCCAGTCACTATGACAGTAAGAAAAGCCCCCATAAATTTCCAAAGTGGCCCCCAGGGCAAGTGCCACTCCCACTTAGAATCATTGGAATGGGAACTTTAAAATTGCTTGTTAGGTTTGACATTTTAATCTGTTAATATTCAGTGTTTTAGATTAAGTTAAAGATAAAATACTCATATTCTACTTCTACATCTGTGGTATCTACAGTTGTTTTCTCATTATTGTTTTATTTTCCTTTAAAGTGACCAGCACTTACCAGATGAATACCGCTAATCTAAATTTATCATAGTTATCAGTAACATATGTTGAGTATTAGTATTTTTTTAAGTGCTCTGTATAGCATAGTTAAGCCAAAAGTAGAAATTTGAAAAATTAAAACCTTAAGATTTCAAGAGGACTACAGTTTGATGGATTTTAAAAAATGAATTTGCAAAAAGGGCCCGACATTTATCATTTTGTATGTTTTATGGGTTTTTAATGTAGGTATGGCAAATTCCTCAACCTGTTAAAAGATGGCGCAGAACATGATCTTACCTGGGTTCTGAAGCACTGTGAGAGGTTCCTGAAGCAGCAGCGAGCTCTTGTAAAGTCTTCTCTTCGTATCCTTTTTGAGTGGATTCACGATTCAACTTCCTTCATATATTTTTCATAACTTTGGATGGGGTACCTTAACACTTTTATAGTAAAATAACACTTGAAGCTGTATTACTGATTTTTTATGATACTTCTTCATAGTATTTTAAATACACATTTTATTATATTGAGTTGTGATTACTAAATTCAGTCTTATTCAATGAATCTAGAACTGAATAATAAAGTTATTAGAATATATTTACAGACAAATATAAGAAAGTTTTAAAAATACAGTTAGTTGATGTAGAAAAAGATTATCCTAAATTTAGTAAATCTAGAATAAGAATTTTAAAATCTGTTTATTATTTTACTTAAATTGGTTATAGTTCAGAAATAGAATTTGACTTGAAGAAAAAAATTAAGTATTTGCATTATTGAATCTACAAATGTGTGAATTTTTTGAATACTTGATTATGCTAGTAATTTGGCAGATAACCTGAATTACAGAAAGGATGGTACAGTTGTGTCCATGACTTGAACAGCTGTGTTTCTGCAGAGCAGATAGTTTTCCCCCCAGTTACTAGTGCTGTTGGCCTACACTGGACACTGAAGCAAATGGTACATTATAATAGTTACTGTGTAATTTTTTACTTCATAATATGTAATTTTATATCAATATTTTGTGAATTGGTTAAAGGCAAAATGAGGACTAAGAATCATTAATGTATCTTTCCTCGTAGAGACTTTGCTCATTTATGGAGTTGTTGTGTTCAATGTTACCAGATAATATATTATAAGAGTTCCTTAACTGTCCTTCCCAGTCTGCCTGCAGGGCAGCTGTGCTGGCCATGACTGGTTTGTGTCTTCTCTGTTCATGCTGATGCTGGGGGACAGACAGAAGACATTTTGGTTTCTGCAGCAGTTCTCCAGGCTTCTGGCCTCCGCTTTCCTTTGGCTGCCGAGACTACATATTTCTGTAAGACTTTTTAGTCTGTTTTAAAGGAGTGTTTTAAATTTTAAATCCTCTTTAAATTCACTGAGGTCTTCTTATTTCATTTGTAGAGCATTCTGCATTAATTTATATTTATTTTCTAAGTGAATGCTTTTGAGTGATTCTCTTTGAAGATATAGATTTAACATTTTCTCAAATATTTGGTGTCTTACCTAATGGTAGCTGAATGGCAGATTAATGATAATAGATGTATTATTAAATTTTAAACTTGTCATTTAATAAATTATCAAGTTCTATATACAAAAATGGAACTATTAAATAAATATTCTTTGTTGCTTTGTTGGAAATACTTGGTGAAATTATGGTATCAGAAAATATTTATTAAGTTGAAATTGTAACCATACTTTATAGAGGGGAAAAAAACACATTTTATATGCATTTTTGAATCTATGGTAAGTTTTGATCAAGGTAGTATAGTATATTTAAAAAATTTTCTCTAAACCCATGAGATTTCAGGGTTCAGTTTAGAGGTAAATATAACCCTTGGGTAATGTTTCTGTATTTGTTTCACCTACTTACTGCCATTTCAGATCTCCAATTTGGGGACACTGTGTACTATATAAACCATGCTAATGCTTCCCAAACCTTTTCCATGCCCTGTTGCACATGAGAAATGGAATCATGTGGTGCCCAAGGATAAGTTAAGGGGGCTAGAGAATATCAACATAGGAAACTAAATGAAAACATTTATTATGTTTGTACAATATATATTGGTTATAAAAAAATAAAGGCAATACATCAAGAATACATTAAACTGTATTTGAACAACAATTAAAATAAAAAATGTTATAAAAATAAATATTCATTACATAACTTTAAAAAAGAATACATTAAATATTAAAATATTATGATTTTTATGCTTGAAGTAGCTGTGTACAATTCCTGATTAATACTTTTCAAGCAATGAAACTATTTTCCTTCTGGTAACTAGAATTCAAACAATTCTTTAAATTGTACATAAAGTTTTTTTAAATCTCATAGATTTTTTACTCTTCCATTTACAAATATAATGTTGAAAATTCTTTTGATCTAAGTATGGATTTTGAGTCCATTCACACATTTTCATATTGAGTGTTCTTAAACGATACCTACATTTCATTAGTCTCAACTATTCTACTTTAGTGTTCTGATTGTGACACTGTCAGACATCACCAATGAACTGTTTTTGAACATACTTGTAATATTTCTGCTTTGAATCTATAAACTTTTTCATGACACCTTATTTTAATTTTAACATAGCAGCAGTAATGTATTCTAAGAGCATTTCTTCTTATAAACCTGAAAGCAGGCATGACCCTAGAGACTTGCATTTTATTAGATTTACAGTGTTGAAGCTATCATTTAATATGGAATATAGATTTGTGAATGCATGGAATGACCCATAGGTCTGGGTTTTAGAATGAGTCCTTGTTGTAAAGCCTAGACACCTTTCAGTTGGTGCAGCTGGAACATCAGTGAAAACTTACGCAGTGCCTTCTGTAGTACGTTTTTCTTTTCAAGTACAAATGGACCACATTGAATATTTCATTACCAGTAGTTTTAGTACTTCTCAATAAAACAATAACATTCTGCTAAGATTCTTTAGGGATTCTGTCTAAAACTTGTAGCTAACTGTAGTTACAAATGTCTATGCTCTAACCACTCCATAGTATAACTTTTGTTTACTTCATAATTTTTTGATTGGTGTTTTTTCTATGCTAATGACTTGTTAATGCATTCAGTAAGTTTTAATATATTATTTAAAAAGTGGTCTGTTTTCTATTTTGTTGAATCCATTGGTTTTAAACATTGCACTAACGATTTTTAAATTATATTTTATTGTTTATGCTATTACATTTGTCCCCGTTTTGAAAATATTTACAATTTTCCCCCTTTGTCCACATCCATCCAGCATCCCCCATTCCCTCAGGCAATCCCCCAACCATTGTTCATATTCATGGGTCATGCATATAAGTTCATTGGCTACTCCATTTCTTATACTGTACTTTATATCCCCATGGCTGTTCTGTAACCACCTATTTGCACTTCTTAATCCCCTCACCTCCTCACCCATTTCGCCACACTCCCCTCCCATCTGGCAACCATCAAAATGCTCTCTGTAGTCATGGTTCTATCTGTTCTTGTTTGCTTAGTTTGTTTTTAGATTCAATTGTTGATATATATTCATTGCCATCTTATTGTTCATAGTTTTGATCTTTTCCTTAAATAAGTCCCTTTAACATTTCATATAATAATGGTTTGGTGATGATGAACTCCTTTAGTTTTTTCTTGTCTAGGAAGCTCTTTACCTGCCCTTTAATTGTAAGTGATAGCTTGGCTTTGTAGAGCAATCTTGGCTGTAGGTCTATGCTTTTCATGACTTTGAATATTTCTTGCCAATTCCTTCTAGCTGGAAAAGTTTCTTTTGAGAAATCAGCTCACAGTCTAATGGGAACTCCCTCATACATAACTAATGGCCTTTCTCTTGCTGCTTTTAAGATTCTCTATCTTTAACCTTTGGCATTTTAATTATGATGTGTCTTGGAGTGGGCCTCTTGGCATCCATCTTGTTTGGAATTCTTTGTGCTTCCTGGACTTGTATGTCTATTTCCTTCACCAAATTACAGATGTTTTCTTTCATTATTTTTTCAAACAGTGTCCAATTTTTGGTCTTTCTCTTCTCCTTCTGGCATCCCTATGATGTGAATGTGGAATGTCTGAGTTTGTCCCAGAGGCTGCTTATAAAATCCTGATTTTTTTGGATTCTTTTTTCTTCTTGTTGTACTAATTGCTTTGCTTGTTTATGCTTCCTTATGTTCCAAATCATTGATTTGATTCTCAGCTTCATCCACTTTACTGTTGTTTTCCTGTAAATTGTTCTTTATTTCAATTAGTGAATCCTTCATTTCTGACTGGAATTTTTTATGCTGCTGAAGTCCTCACTGAGTTTCTTGAGCATCCATATAACCAGTGTTTTGACCTCTGCATCTGATAGATTGTTTATCTACATTTTTTTTAGTTCTTTTTCTAGAGTTCTGATCTGTTCTCTCATTTGGGCCATGTTTCTTTGCTCACTTTGGCAGCCTCCCTGTGTTTGTTTCTATGTATTAGGTTGAGTTGCTATGACGCCCTGTCTTGGTAGCATGGCCTAATGTAGTAAGTGTCCTGTAGGGTCCAGTGACACAGCCTTCCCTGTCATCCAAGCTGGGTACTCGAGGTGCACCCTCCATGTGTGCTGAGTACACCCTTCTCTTAATCCTTGACTGCTGTTGGCCGGTCAATGGCAGGGATTTACCCAGGCCAGTTAGCTTCAAGGACTAGTTGTGACCACTGGCCACAAAACCTCTGCCCTCTGTGGAGGGTCAGCTGTGCAGGGGCAGGGTGGAAGTATTCCGATGTGGTCTGTAGATGTCCACTGAATGCGTAGGCTTTGGGGTTTTCTAGGTGGTGCAAGCAGTGTCAGCCCCCACCTGTGTTCTGCCCAGGGCCACCCGGCTTGAGCTATAAAGCAATCTGAGATGGCTGCTACTTGTGCTGGGCTTGGGTTTTCCCACAGGAAGCCACACTGTAAATCTAGGGCAGCTTCTGCTGTGCTGGGCCTGGGGCCATTTAGCAAGAGGTACAGTAGCTGTGCCTCACTGAGGCTGGCTATTGCTTATTTGAGAGGATTTAGGAAGTTATGAAACATGAGCCAGGACCAGCAAATCATATGGAAAAGTCTCTGTTAACAACTTGTATGGGCTGGTTAGTTTGGTGTGATGGAGTCTCAGGATATCCAGGGTGGGGCAAACAGTGTTAGCCAGGTGAATGGAGTCTCAGATATGGTCCCCTCCTGCCAGGTCTGTGGCTTTGTAAGGGGGACGGTTCATAAAAGGGACAATGGTGTTGCACAGGGTATGAATTCCTTCTTTCTTTCTGCTGCGTAGTATTCCATTGTGTAATGGATGGAACTGGAGAGCATTATGCTAAGAGAAATAAGCCAGGCGGTGACAGACAGATACCATATGATCTCACCTTTAAGTGGAACCTAATCAACAAAACAAACAAGCAAGCAAAATATAACCAGAGACATTGAAATTAAGAACAAATGGACAGTAACCAGAGGGGAGATGGGGGGAACAGGGTGAAGGGTTTTCAGGAACAACTATAAAGGATACATGGACAAAACCAAGAGGGGTGGAATCAGGGGAAGGAGGTGAGGATGGCTGGGGTGGCAGGGGAGAGGAGTGGGGGAAAAGGTAGGCAACTGTACTTGAACAACAATAAAATAGAAAAAAAAAGAGGGACAATGGCTTCTGCCTGCCTTTCTATCTGGAAAAATGCTGTCCCCAATTCTCACCTTGATGCTAGACACTTCAGTTACTCCCTGTATGCCAGCAGTCCCCAGTGCTTTTGGAGCCATGGACCAGTTTTGTGGAAGGCGTGGTTGACGGGGTCGGGGATGGGACAAGAGGCGGAGCTCAGGTGAGCTTTGCTTGTGGTCCAGTTCCTAATAGGCCTCAGACTGCTGCCTGTCCAAGGCCCTGGAGTTGGGACCCCTGCTGTATGCACTGGTACCTTTCAAGTTGCTACCCCTGTGCTGGAGCTCAGAGGGAGTGAGTCTGAGTAAGTCCGTGTGCGGATTCTTTAACAGAAACTGTTTGGGACTTTAGAAGTTTCTTCCACCAACTTAATCACTGCTGGTTTTTCCAGCCAGAAGTTATGGGGACTTATCTTCCTGGCACTGGAACCCTGGGCTGTGAGGCCTGGCGTGGGACTGAGACTCTTCGCTCCTGAGATATCCCTCCCAAATTTTTATCTGCAACACATGGACATGGGACTAACACATCTTGTGCAACTCCGCCCCCCCTACCAGTCTGGATGGATGCGGTTTCTTTAATTTTGCAGTTGTCAGACTTCATTTGACTTCATCTGACAGTTCTGAGTGATGTTTGTTCTGCAGTTTAGTTGTAATTTTGATGTGGTTGTGCAAGAAAGTGAACATG